GACCAACTTCATTCATATACTAGAACCTGTCCACTTGTTGAATAGGTCTTTAGAAAAATTAGTACTTGGGCCACTTTGTAGGTCAAGTATTACACAATTTTTAATTTTATTTTAACTATAAATAATATTATCTAGATAAGTTTTTGACTACTCTAGTAGGTTTAGATCACAGATAAATTAGATTTATTTAATTGTCTGAGCTTTTATTCTTGCATGTAATTTTCTTTTTATTTGTACTAGTACAAATAATAGAAATATATATACTGCACATATGTTACTATTTTATAAATTACTTAATAAAAATACAAGCAAGACTTCACCTTAAAAAAAAAAAAATTATAGTAAAATTTTGAATTATTATATTATTTTAAAAAAATATACTTGTATATATGATAAAGTTTTCTTAGATTGGTTAAAATTTTCTTAAATAGTACAAAATTTAAGAATTTGATTGGTTAATTTATATAAGTTTATAAGTTAATTTTATTATATAATTTTATATCCTAATGTTTAAAAATTCATATCTTAATAAGTTTTTATTCAATTTTAATAATTTTGCTATTATTAGAATTAGAAAGACCTACACTATAACTTTTACTTAATAATTCAAATTAGTTTACTTAATATAGTTTTTTATAAATTTAAATATAAAAAAGAATTACTATTAAGTTTATATATAATTTTAAAATAGTACACTCTATCTTTAAACCCAAATTATATAATAATATCAAACTTTAAAAAATAAGTTTGAATAGAATTATTACTTGTTATATATGCTATTTGCTATTTAATACACTTTTGATATAGATTAACATTAGGCTTTCTTTTTAATTTTATGTAATACTCATATTTTGTTTATTATTAATAGTTTCTGTTATTATTTGTTCTGAAATTTTTTATGTTTTATGTTTATCATTATCTAAATTGAACTTGTTTGCATGTTTATTAATATACATGTTTGTTTTGTTTGTTATTTACATGTTACTATGATCTACAGATCTATATTTTCAAATTACAGAAAATTTTCCAAATTTTACTTTTTAAAGTGCTAACTAAAGTATTTTTTTTTTTTCTATTTCTTTTACTAAGTTATCTAAAATTTTTTTTTTTTGTTATATATGTTTTCTTTATAAGTTCTATCTTTTTTCTTAAATCTATAAAGTTAATTTAGACAGTTGTTTTTCGGTAAACTTCTAAAATGTTTTTTTATAAATTTGTATATAAGTAATTAGTAAAAAAAGTTATTGAATATGTTTATTTTTTTTATTTTTTTTATTTTTTTATTTTTTTATTTTTTTATTTTTTTGGTATAAAATAACCTCTTTGGTTTTTTGACCTTTATTAATGACTTATTAGTAATATGATTCAATGAACTACTATAAAAGAGAGTACAATTGGTTATATATATAACTTTTCTATATTACCTATTTAAGAAGTCTGCCTGAAGGTTCACTATCAATTGTTATATCTAATATCTCTACTTGAGTGTTTTACTTTAAACTCTCTAAATCTGTAATCTGTATTAACTCACTAATTATATTCAAATACTTAAATCATTATCTCAATTTTAAAATTATTTTATCTTTAAGATAAACTTCTTAGAGCCTTTTGTACCTATTTTTACAACTAATCTAGGTATCACTATAACAAAACTAATATTTGTAGTTAGGGCTTAATCATTAAATCACTATACCCTTGTAGAGTTTACTTAAACCCTAATATCTACTTCATAGCATAACTCCAGTACTTTAGTATACTTTTAAATTTCACTAAACTTCTAATTTAAATAGTCTGTATAGGATTATAACTAGTTTATTAATATATTAAATTAGCTCAATATTCTTTTTCTTTAGTTCATTCTAGTGGCCTAGTTAGTAATACTTCTGAGACTTCTAACCAAGAGGTTTTTGCTTGTTCAGTTACTAAAACCTTGTATCCATTTTTCCAGACTAGTCTTTACAGTAGTGTTATCAAAGATCTAGCTATCTCTTTACTTAGGTCTTTCTAAATAAACTTCTTGTTATCTAATTTCAATAGATTTATATAATCACAAGAACTTATTTAGTGTTTGCATTGCCTAGTTGTCAGTCTGCATTCTTATATGTAACCCCAATATTGTACAGATGCTCTATAACTTGTCAGTTATGCTAATGTGACTGCCATTACAGGTATTCTAATCTAATTATTAGTAACAGTTGCTATAATACAAATATTATATAAGTGATTATTCAAATTTTTATTATTAATAAGATTTGAATATCCAACCTACTACTTGAAGGGATGACAACCTAACTACTTTACTAGATTGTCACACCTCTCATTTATTTTTTATTTTTTATTTTTTATTAAGTTTTTTTTATTTTTATAATTATTTAATTTAATTATTTAACTATATTTTATTACTTATTTAATTATTTTATCTTTGTTTTCTTTTTTTTAAAATAATATAATTATATAATTTTTAATAATAATAATAATTAATAAAATTTATAAGCAGTTAAATCTTTTTTTTTAATTATGTTTTTAGTTTTAATAAATTAATACTAATAAAGAGTTTGTATCTATATAGGAATTAGATTTTATAAGTATTATATAAGTTTATTTTAAAATTTTGTTTAATTATAAATAAATACAACTATAAAGAATATGATTATAAAAAGATTTAACTGTAATTTACTTATTTTTTTAATATTAAAATAAGACCTTGCTTATATCTTTATTAATAATTTTAACTATATACTTTAGTACAAAAGTGTTAAAATAAACTGATTATATATAATAAAATAAAAATTATATGCAAAAATAAGAATTTAAGCTATATAATTTATTTGTAATCTAAACCAGAGTAATTTACTTATATATACTAAAGTAATGCATATTATTTAGAGAATTTTAACTAATCTAAATAAGTCTTAACTATATTTATCTTAATTTTTTTAGATTGCAAATAAATATATCTTAACTTTTATTTTTATATCTAATTTTTTTTACTTTTATATTTAATAATTTAACAATTAATTCTAATTGCAAGTATTGATTTACTTTTTGTACTTAATAACTTCATATAGTTATTAACTTAGAAAAATACAAATAAAGATACAAACATGACCTCATCTTAATACTAAAAAAAAAATATTAACTTTGTAAAATATATTTTAAATTATAATAGTATAATTTTTTTTTTACAAAATTTTTAATATTCATTGAGTTATAATTTTGGATGCCTTTAGATGATTTGCACCATAAGTGTATTTCAATTCGTTGCTATAGAATCATAAATCATTTTTTTAAGAAATGTTTCTTAATAATAAAGATGTTAATTGGTCTTCTAAAATCAGGTTCTATCTGATCTTTTAAGAGATTGGTCAGGATTTAATCCTTCAATTACATAATATAATGTAAATTTTTTATAAGACTCTGATTCCAGATCATAATTCATTTATAAATTCTAGGATCTGCTTTAATAATATTTTGGTTAGCATTAATTTTTTAATTATAAAATAATTAAATAATGAATAAATGTCTTGCTTTAAATCATCATAAAAAGGTAGTATACTTTAAATAAATATTTAATCATGAGCTTTTTCTTAAAAATCTTTTCAATAAAGATAGTATGAAAACTTATTTTTAAAGTTTTTTTCTTGTATAAATATTTAATAATAATGAATATATTTTTTAAAGCTAAATCTTAATAATGAAACTCAAATCTTCACAATAAAGGCAGTATGTCTTTAAATTATTGAACTTATCTGATTTAAATAATTAATAAAGCAATTATATATTCAATGTTTAACTTTTTATAACTCAACTAATAATAAAAGTGAAAAGGTTTTTTTAATTTAATCTTTACAAAAAGACACAATATGGGATTTATTATTTATATAGTTAGAACCCAAAGATGGTTTTTTCTAGTTCTAATCTTTACAATAAATGTAAAATAGAATTAATAATTAATAAAATGATTGTATAATTAAACAAAAGCAATAATATATCAGTTTAAATCCTAATAATAAAGGCTATATGTCTTTTCTTCAATTCAAATTTTTGTAACAAAGAGGATATATATTTAAAAAGTTAATACTTGTTTTGTTTGAAATTTATTTAAAAATAACATTTTTAAACAAAAAATCAAAAAAAAACTAAAAAATAATATCATAAAAACTATAGAAATTAAATCTGAACCTAATATAGAAACTATATTTAAAACTATGCCCAAAAATATGCCTGAAACTATATCTAAAATTATGCTTAAAACTATGCCTAAAACTATGTTTTTATTGAGTAATATAAAAAATCAAAGGTAAAGATATATATCATAAAGCAATTGATTACTAATTAGAGATTACTTGTTACTAACCTCTAATAGAAGCAATTAATATGAAGTATATAATCAAATCTTTAGCAAGTTGATAGCATCTACAATAATAAATAGGCATTTTTAAAGATTTTATCTTATGTATTATTCTACAATAAAGCAACACAAATTTAAACAACTTAGTCTGTATAGCCCAAATGATAGATTAAGAGTTGATGCTTTAAATAAGCAATTATTAGAATAGATAGTAATCAATCAACAATCTTTTTTTTTAATTGAAAATGCAAGTTTCATAAATTTTATTCAAAAACTTGATCTATATTACAGGTTCTTATGTCATCAAACACTTTCAACTTGGGTTAACAAAGATTATAAACTATATAAAGATACAATTAAAATCATTTTAAATCAGGTTTTTTTAAAACTTTCAATTACAATAAATAAATAGATGTCTTGTACCAAGCAACTAATTATCAACATAAAAGTACATTTGGTAGATTTTACATAGAAATTATACAGAATCTTATTTAATATTGTATTATTCGATAAAAATTATATTGCAATAAACTAAGCTAATCTAATTATTAGGATTTTAAAGAAAATAAATATTGGCAAGAAACTTTTGGACATTACTACAGATAATGTGACCAATATGTGCTTTATAGAAAGGATTTTGCAAAAGAAAATGGTTTCTGAGTTTAATAATAATGATGTGCAATATTTTTGTTATAATGTGCATATTTTAAACTTTGGTGTAGAAGAAAAAATTAAAAAAGTTAGCAAAAAATTCAGAAAGCACAAGAATTTTCTTTAAAACTTTAAAATTTGTTTTTATTATTTCGAGAACTAAAAAAATTTGTAAAATGAAAAATGTTTCCTTTTTAATACTCAAAGCTTATATAGAAACTTATTAGAATAACTTGTATCTCTTATTAGAAAAACTTCAAAAACTCTGTCCTGTAATAAATATTCTTGTTGCAAGTAACAAAATATTAAACCAAAGTTATTCTAAAAAAATGTTTAGGTTAGTAATTTTTAAAACATCATTTATAAATATATAAATATGTATATTTATATTAATAAATATAAACTATAGAACCTAATAATTATTCTTGAGTCTATATATCATGCAACCATAATGCTATTCTCTTTAAAATTTCCTACTTAAGATGATTTATATATGATATTCCAAGGTCTTATTAGACATCTAACTAATTATACAAATTTAGAACTTACTACTTAATTTGCAGTGTCCAATATAATAAAAACTAAGCTTGAATCATATTGATGTTATCTAAACAGATAGGGCTGCATTATATATATATTCAAGCTTTGTATATGTACTGCATATATAACTTATACAATTACATATTTCTATAAATAAGTCATCAATCATTTCAAACCTTTTTGATCTTTGTAACAAGTTTGCAATATATAAATTTAAGAATTGTGAAACTGCAATTAATATGCTTTATCAAGTATTTGAAAAGTATAAACCAAATAGAAAAAATAGATTTTATCATTTCAGATAACTATTACTAAACAACTCAAAATTTCTTTTGTGATCTTATCACAAACCATATAATCTATTCAGATTCTAATGAAATTATAAAATATTTAGAAGAGCCAGATACTAGAGTAGAACCACTTCTATGATAGAAAATGAATTCAAATCAGTATCTTATGTTATCTAGAATTGCTATGAATTATCTTACAATTCAATTAACAAATATGCCTTCTGAACAGGCATTTCTGTAACTAAACATACTATTTCTCTTACTCACAATCATATTGATGCTAAAACAGCACATGCATTACTATGCCTTAAAAGCTGATATAGTGAAATGCTATTAAAATAAACAAAAAAAAATAAAAGAAAAAAAAAACAAGTAAAAAAAAACAAAAAAACAAAAAAAAAACAAAAAAAAAAGCAAAAAAAAAGATTTTATAGTTTAGTAGTTATTGGTTGTATTGTTATTATTCCAGTTTGAAATGATTCCTAGTTGTATTTGAAGTTTTTTAACTTTTTTTTGATTTTATATTAGAAATTTTATTGATGTTATTTTTCAGTTTATACAGCAAAGTTTTTTTACCACATTGTTTTTTTTTTGTTTTTTGTATATTCTTTTATATGGTTATTCATATATGAATTTTGATTTGAAATTTTTTGGATCGTTAGATAGATTAGATTTTAAATAAATAAAGTTTTAACGGTTCAAAATATAAAAACGAAAGGTCAAAAATTTTATTGGATAGACTTATTTAGAGTATTAAAATTCAGAGGATCCGATCCTGGAATTGATTGGTGGGATTTAAGTCTAGGATGATCCTTTTAGGTCCTGGGATCGGACTGGACCGGATCGACATTTTAACATCCCTACTTAACGACTTGTATAGGCCAATCAGATAATCGATAAGATCTTGTGACTTGCAGAATTAATACGAATAATAATAGATAAATCCTCTACAATAAGCTTTTTTTCAAATGCCACAGCCAAAACCAAAATATAACAACAGACACTCAAAACCGACACGCGGTGGTGGGCGTAAATTTACAAACCCAAGACGTCTTGCTATAGAAAAAGACGAAGAAGATGGATTGTGGGAGGTGAGTTAGTTTGAACATTGATCAATTATGGCAGCTAGATGTGTGTACCAATTATGAAATGTCTTTTAGCATCGGGAAGCGCATAATGATATAGAAAGTTCTGATGATGAAGAGGAAAGAGAGGTTGTTGTTAAAAAGTCAAAAGAAACCAAGGAATCAAAAGAATCAAAATCAGAAAGTCTTGAATCTAGTAGTGCCGACGATGACGACGATGACGACGATAACGTTCGTGATTCTGTATGTGAATTTCTTAAATTATTTATTTCTGTGAAATATTTCAATAATTGACATTTATGTTTATCTAGAATTCTAATCATCCAGAATCAGCAATATCGAAAATGATTGGATCAGAGAACCCAAATAGAGTTAAAAAGGATAACTTAAGGGCATCTGATATATCAAACACACCAAGGGAGATGACTCGACGGGAAAGGTACAAATTTGACATGTAATATTACATAGTTTATAGTTTACAATTTATATTGTTTAAGATATTTATTATTCAAATTTTTAGAGAAGCTGCTGAAAAAGAGGCCGCCAAACAGCGATATTGGAAACTTCATTTAGAAGGTAAAACAGAGCAAGCAAAAGCTGATTTAGCACGTTTGGCTATTATAAAGAAACAACGAGAAGAAGCAGCTCTACAAAGAAAAGCTGAGGCAGATGGTATTATCATTATTATCATTATTGTTTGTTAAAAAAAAAGAATTTAAAATAATGAGAAATTTAATTTCAAATATTTAGCTAAAGCTGAAGCACAAAAAGCAAAATTAGAAAAAGAAGGGCGTAAGTCCCGGAATAAGTCCAAAGTTAATTGACAATAGATACTAAAATAATTATAAAACAAATGTTTAAACTTCAATTTTTAGTTTAATTTAGGCCCGCAACCAAATAAATAATTTATATGCGGTCTATAATCTTTATTTGTGCAAAAAATCCGAACCTATCGAATGATTATAAATTTTTTTTTTTTTACTGTCCATACGAACTGGCAAGGTTAAATGGGGAACCCTTACTTGAAAGCAAGTTTCAAATAGCGGTTTTCTTAGTCCGTTCCCCAAATAAGGTCAAACACTAAATTTATCTCTTAATCCGTCTGTTTTAGCGGTTAAATTTGCATACAGTCAAACCTCCCAAAACTGATAACCTGTAATAATTGAGCCACCATATCTGTTCCATAAGTCAAACCTGATAATTTGTTAAACCTAATAACTAAATATCTAAGATTTCAGATTTGGCAGGTAAAATAAATTGATTTTATTGGCTTAAATCAGATTTGTATAACATATTATAGATATAAGAAATAAATTCAGTCAATTATATTTGTTTATAGTTATATAATTAGTAAGCTATTAGTATTTCAAAACCGATAGCTTTTCAAACTGATATACAAAAGCTGATCACCAGGCATATGTATTGGTTTAGAGAAGAAGTACTATACACGAATTCTGAAAGTCACAAAGTCTTGAACAATTGAAAAGTTGATAATGATTATTTAGTCAGATCAACAAGTTTAATAATGAGAATGCTGATGAAATTAATTTCATCAAATATTGTTTTATCAGTATCTTGAAGTTGGTTTTGATTTGACTTTTAGTACAACTTCTAATTTAGGTTTTTCAACTTGGTTGTTTACTATTTTCTTATCGTCTAGTTTCATAACATTATTATAATATTACTTTTTTAAGCAAGTATCTTACTTATACGTACGTATACGTACAGTATGTTGTGCCTCAGATGTCAGATGACGCCGGGATTAGGGTTAGGGTTAAACTTATAGGGTAAGTTAGGCCAATTATTGCAGATCATTTAACGCTGGTCATCTGGTAGTCGGATTAAATGCCTATTTTTAAGAGCATTAACCAATAAAATCGTTATCGCGTGACTAGTGTTAATATGATTGGTTAATTTTCTTTGCTTTACTATCATAATTTTTGTAAAAAGCAAGATATTAAAAATTTTACAGATTTGTAGTAAAAGGGATTTTTAAAATAATTATTTTTATAAAGTTATTAGACATTTAACAACTGCTGTTCCGTACTGTAAAGCAATCTTTCACGTGATTACCACGTGTTGAACACTCACAATACCGTTACTTTTGGTGGACATTTCTCAATATTTTCTTGTTCTAATAATAATACCCTCTCAGTTTGAGACAATGGTCGCTTAGCACCAAATGCAAGCGCTTGTTCTTCAGCAACACGCTCAGCTACTTCCTGTCTCGCACGAATTGCATAAAATTCATTACATGCATGAGCATATGCTTTACTTTTTGACATTCCAGTCGACATGAGATAAAGTTGGTATTTTATCACGCTATTAGATAACCAAAATCAATGGAAAATAGACTTAGAGTAAAAAAAATGGATTACTCGATTAAAAAAATGTTTTTTTTTTACTGTTATTACCTTTCCCCGCTAATTTGGGTAGGATGCCTACTACCCAATAAGGTGCTCCAGTCTTCTCTAACGGGTATCTCCTTTTCGATTAAGCTTTGGGGTCGCAACAATTCATAAGGATGATCTCTATAGAATCGTCGTCGTAAGGAATCTTCTTCATAGACAATCTTTTGTGGTCGTTTTCGAAATTGAAGTGGGGAACGAAGGACACTTGAACCAGGTGGAACCGTCTTCATAACCGGAAACCAAATTGGAGGAATTTTGTAAATGCCACCCGCCAGAAGTCGTGATACATGGTCGTAGAGTTTCGTGGGCGATCCACGATACATTTGTAAAAATGAAAAGAAATGAATTCAAACAAGATGTTTATCGTTATAAATTTTTGCAAATCAATTCTAATTGACGAACCTCTTACACTGCGTCTATATTCGTATGCACTGTATCAGGTGACAAGCATTTAATATTTAACATAACCATGCAATAAGAATATAATTTATAATGATTACCTTCTTTACGACCAAATATAAGTAATTGGCTTTATTAATCTGTACATTTTACTTCAATCTCAAACATGAGTTCTGCTCCCGTATCTATGGAGGACCAGCAAAAACTTTTAGAGGAAGCATTGAATGTGGTTAAAGTTCAAGCATTTCAAATGAAAAAATGCCTGGTAAGTTAGGTTATAGTTCAGATTAGATTTATTGTAACGCACGGCTCTTTTTATTTACATTCTGTTATAGGCAAACAACAAACTTATGGATGGCTTGAAACATTGTTCTACGATGCTAGCAGAATTGCGTACGTCCGTATTGACACCAAAAAATTATTATGAACTCTGTATCCTTTTTTTTTCTTAATAAAAAAAATCCATACAAGTAATGATAGCAAATCTTCGCAATAAGCATTTTCAATTGAATTCCTGAACTATTGTCACTTGTAAAGATATGGCAATTTTTGATGCTCTCCGACACCTCACAACATATCTTATTGACGCGCATATCTCAGGAAAGCATCACCTTGCAGACCTTTATGAGTTAGTGCAGTACGCAGGAAATATTATTCCACGTTTATATCTTATGATTACTGTCGGGAGCGCTTACATGTCACAGAGAGATGCACCAGTCAGAGAGATTATGAAAGATATTATGGAGATGTCTCGTGGTGTACAACATCCGACGCGTGGATTATTTTTGAGGCATTATCTGAGTGGAATGACGAGAGATTCATTACCTGTCGGGAGTGATAATGGGTACTAGGCATTTCCTGTTTTCTTTTTCTTTTCTTTTTCTTAAAAGGAATATATATATATATATATTTCAAAATATAATAAAAGATTGATATCATTTCTGGTCTTTTATTAAGTCCGCAAGGCAACCTTCAGGATTCAATTTCATTTATTCTTACTAATTTTATTGAGATGAATAAGTTATGGGTCCGCCTTCAACATCAGGGGCATTCGCGTGATCGTGAAAAAAGGGAGATGGAACGTAAAGAATTGAGGATTTTAGTCGGAACGAATTTGGTTCGCCTGAGTCAATTAGATGGTGTTGATTTAGAGCTGTATCAAAAAGTATTACTTTTCAAATATCATTTTTCTCTTCAATATTATTGCAAGTATTTATTCATTTTGCATCTGCAAATATAATCTAACAGAAAGTATTACCAGCAATATTAGAGCAAGTCATTAATTGTAAAGATGTTATTGCTCAAGAATATTTAATGGAAGTCATCATCCAGGTGAGTTTGATTGGTTTTATTTTTTTTCAATTCAAATAATTACCATGAAACTTACAAATAATATTTAAAATTTTTTTTCTAAGGTATTCCATGATGACTTTCATTTGAGAACACTTGGTCCATACTTGTCAGCCACCGCACAACTACATCAAAAAGTTAATATAAAACAGATTGTTATTGCACTTATTGATCGTCTTGCTGCCTATGCTGCTCGTGAAGCAGATTCTGAACCACCAGAAGTGGTTAAACGTCAGGAAGAAGAAGCTGCTCGTAGGCTAGCTGAAAAATTGAGAAGGCAAAAAATTAGTGGATACAGTGATGAAAAAGAATATGATGATGATTTACCCGAAGAAGAACCTCAAGAAGAATTGGATAATGATGACCTTTCATCAAATAATATAAAATCTGATGAGGAACCCACCGCAAAAAAATTCCGTGGTATTCCAGAAGATGTAAAACTCTTTGAGGTTTTCTGGGGGCAAATTGTCGAGTTGGTCAGGGTATTTATTTTAATATATATTTTATATATGTGTATATATGTCGATTTTGGGTTTGAAATTTCTAATCACTTTTTGTAGGCACGTCGCGATTTATCCATCCAAGATATCACTGCTTTGTTGGTATCTTTGGTTAACTTATCATTAAGTTGTTATCCTGACAAGATTGAATATGTTGATCAAGTCATAGAGTTTGCAAAACAAAAGGTTTTGGACTTCCAAGATAGGTACATCATAGGAAAAACTTTTTATTTTTATCTTAAGTATTAGTATTCTGAATCTGACGTTACAATCTTTTTCCTTATATAAATTAGTCCTGATTTACATAGCCCGGCCGCTACTTCCAATTTGCTCAATCTACTTTTGGCACCAATCAATAATTATTCTTCCGTTATCACTCTTCTTGCATTGCCCAATTATTCTGCACTTCTCTCTGTTCAACCGTTCCAGACTCGCCGTTCTGTTGCACATGCCATTGTTTCCTCTATACTCAAGAATGAAACGATTATCGAGACTCCTCAGGAAGTTAATTGCATACTAGATCTTTGCAGTGTCCTAACGCGTGATCAAAAGGATGCTACCCTTTCAAGTCCATTTAGTGGGCTTACTGGTGGGAGAAATACAAGATCTGGTGGTGTTCCGCCGATGATGGATCCGGAAGAATTCGCAGAAGAGCAAGGATGGCTTGCAAGGATAATTCATTTATTCAAATGTGATGATCCGGATAATCAATTTATGGTATGTTTGTAATGTTATATTATTCTGTTATTTGCATAATATATATCAATAGATTATTCACAAATTTATTGTTTCTATTGTGTTGTAAAAGCTTCTTTCTACAGCCCGTAAACAATTTGCAGAAGGTGGGGAGAGAATACGATACACTTTCCCGCCTCTTGTTGCATCGGCCGTTAAATTAGCAAGAAGATATATACAGATGCAACAACGCGTAAATATTGTTCTTACATAATAGCCATTTTAATTCAGAATTTATGTACTTAATTTTATTATTCTTTCTGAAAGGACGATGGTTGGGAGAAAAAAGTACATACCCTCTTCCGCTTTATTCACCAGGTCATTACTACTCTATATAACAAAGTTGAGTGTTCAGAGTTATGTTTGCGATTGTTCCTTCTCGCTGGTCAAAGTGCTGATGAATGTGGGTTTGAAGAAATATGTTACGAATTCTTTGTTCAGGTTTGTTTTCATTGTACCTTTTAATTGGTTTTTGTCGCATCGAATTCGCGTCTAAAATAAATATCCAATTATAAAAGGCATTTACCATTTACGAAGAATCGATTTCAGAATCGCGCATACAATTTCAAGCTATTACGCTCATTATTGGCACTTTACAAACTACTAGTGTGTTTGGCCCAGAAAATTACGATACTTTGATTACCAAATGTGCTCTGCATGGAAGTAAATTACTTAAAAAACCGGATCAATGCCGTGCAGTTTATCTTTCTAGTCACCTATGGTGGGCTACTGAGATTGAAGGAAGAAATAACAGACCAACTGAGGTTTTAATCTTAATTTTTGTTCACCTATATTCTTATAAAATGGCATCATTAATATTTGTTTCTTTATAGGAGTTATATCGCGATGGCAAGCGAGTTCTTGAATGTTTACAAAAAGCCCTTAAAATTGCAGATTCTTGTATGGATTCTGTAACTAACGTGGAACTATTTGTGGAAATCTTGAATAGATATATATATTACTTTGAAAGGAAAAATGAAGCTGTAAGTTATTAATTTATTTAATTTAATTTAATGACATGATTATTTTATTTATTTATTTTATTTTTTGTAGGTTACTGTTAAATATCTCGATGGTTTGATTGATCTTATTAATACTAATCTTACTAATATGGACAGTTCGGACCAACATCCCCCAACATCTGCTTCATCAGCCCTTATTGAACCTGAAGGAAATTTATCAGAGTTTGTTTTAAGACATTTCAAATCAACCCTTAATCATCTTAATATGCGAAAAGAAGCAGTACTTGATGCTAAAGTACAAGGTGACATTTTTCAGCAAAGATATGACGATATAAATACAAATGTCTCTTTGTGAATGTAATAATTTGTGTTATATTTTGAGATTAAAATGCGTGGTTGTTTTTTACAATCTTAATATACGTATATTGTTATTTATGTAATATTTTGTATTTACACATTGTATTTTTGGGAATTAGATTTGTGCATTTTTATTACATTTAAAATGCCAAATGTTGAAAAATTAGTAATAATAAATTTCTTGAATTTACATTTTTATATATAAAGACATGTAAAAAAATAAATAATAAAAATAAAATTCTTAATTTATTTAAACTGATATTTAAAAATATGTATTGTTCTAACTAGTATTATTTGTTATTTTAATAAGTTGATATAACTTATGATTGAAATTTCGCAGTATACAGTAGATAATTTTTTTAGAAATATCTATATTGCAAGTAAGGCCATACAAACTTAATTGGTTCTCATAACATAATAATTTAAAAGTGGCCCGGCAACTAGGCTTTTAATTTTATAAAATACATATAAATTTTTTTTTGAAAAACTCGCCCGGATAATAAATATATTTAAAATTCTTCAAGTTTTGTAAAATTTGACCTGGTTATAATAACCAATCTATTAAGATGGCCTAATTTTATTTTTTTTTAATTACATAATTTATTTTTACCTAATATATAGATGCTTTATAAAGATTTACTAATTAGGCCATGTAAAATGAAATTTGCTATTTACTATCACTGGTATTCACTACCAGTATTGCTATACATATCTCAAAAACAGGACTAAGAAATAGTGGTTAGATAAAGCAAAATGTTTAAAAACTTTAAAAACCTTGTATGACCTAAATTTAAACTATTATATTTAACTCTTGTCTTTGTTTTAAAATGTATTTTAACATTAAATTTTAACAAAAACATGTAACTGGTAGTGAATACCACTGGCAGTATGTAGTAAGTTTCATGCAAAATTAATTAATTGTTTTTATAATCCGACCAGATCAAGTTTTGAAAACTTGTAAAAAAATTATTTTTACAGCTGTTTTTATAATTGTCACGGCTGATTATAAAATCAGATTATTGTGAAATTAGGGGTCTTTATTTAAATATAGGCCCTACAAAAATCCACCTATACTCTTTTATTAAAAAATCCTAACTCAAAAAAATTTAAAAATCATATATGAAATAGATCCAAATTTCATAATAATCCGATTTCATAATTAGCCATGACAATTCTTAAGGATAAGGATATTATTTTAAAATTATATATAAACTTAATTGTAATTTTTTTTATGTTTAATTTTGAATTTTTGTTAAATATAGTAGGTTGTAATATTACAAGTTAATATTATATTTAAAAAAAAATCAAAATTCAGATTAGTTAGAGTTAGGTTTGAGTTAGTATTAAAGTTAAATTTAGAAAGCATATATATATGTAAAATTAAAAATTAAAACCTTTTAATTAAAAGCTCAAGATTAGTTTATATAATAAAATTTTAAAATTTTTAAAATTTTTGCTTTTTTTTTAATTTTTCATAATTTTTGTTTATTTTTGTTATATAAGGTTTTGTGATTTAATTGGTTAGTTATATTAACCTGTAATATTTAACAAAATTCTATTTTTATAAAAATTATATTAGAAGCTCAAGTCTTATAGTTTAGTTGTTAAGTTTTATTCTTTTACAGACAAGGTTAATAGTTGAGTTTGGCTAAAGGTAAATACTCTATAACTAAAAAATTGAACCTTATAATCAAATATAAAGTCTTGTAGAAGTTCAAGTAAAAGTACATATTAGATTAAGAAATTTTTGTAAGAAAACTAATACAATAGAATGCAAATATTACTATAATAAGAAATATAAAGAATGTCATTGATATTATAAAAAAAATTGGTTTTATTTAATATAAAATTATTATTAACATAAGAAATCTAAAATAGATATAATTTAGAATTTACTTTTATTTTAGTAAAGTTTGCTTTAAGAATAAATTAGGTTTAAAATTTAATAATTAAAAAATTAAGCTTGTTTAGTGTTATAAAAAAATATTAAAAATTAAAAACTTTAAACAAAAAACCTATAGATAAATTTAAGATACAATAATTAGCAAGCAAATTGTAAACAAAACTTTTAAATAGACAATAACTAAAGTTGTATATACAGTATACTGTAACTAATTGTAGTTTTATTAATATACAAAATATAATATTAACAAATTGTCAACAATAATATACAATTATTAGAACTTCACTTTTATATAAATAGCTCAGTTGTTAATCTGAATAACTTACAATACTTTATGAGCATTGGATAAGTACAAATCTTAAACTATACTATACTATATATACTGTATTTCAAGCTTAAACAAGATATTGGTCTTGTTTATTTAAGACTAAGCTTACTGCTATCTTATTAGCTTTTATTACTAGTCCTAAAAACTGTATTATACATATATATACTAACTTATAATCTGTAATTTCTAAATATTACAGTCTTGTGGGTGTGGCAACCTAGTGAAATGGTCAGGTTGTCAACCCTCCAAGTGGTAGGTTGGGTGTTCAAATCCCATCGATGGTGAAAATTTGGATAATCACCT